GGGACAGGGACAGGGACAGGGACAGGGGAGAGGGGACAGGGACAGGGACAGAGACAGGGGAGAGGGGACAGGAACAGAGACAGGACGGGGACAGGGACAGGGACAGGGATGGGGACAGGGACAGGGACAGGGGAGAGGGGACAGGAACAGAGACAGGACAGGGACAGGGACAGGGACAGGGATGGGGACAGGGACAGGGACAGGGGAGAGGGGACAGGAACAGAGACAGGACAGGGACAGGGACAGGGACAGGGGCTGGGACAGGGGATGGGGCTGCTGGCACCATGACAGGGCAGGCAGGGCCACCCTGGTGCCACCCCAGCCCATCCCTGCACATCCCCTGGGCTCAGTGGGAGGGTTGGAGATGCCAGGTCCAGCTGTGTCCTCCAGTGTCCCCAGTGTCCCCGTGTCCCCGTGTCCCCGCAGAAGCTGGTGGCTGAGAACATGGACACGCTGGTGCAGCTGCGCTGCTGCAGGGCCGAGCAGAGGCCGGCGCTGCTGCCCCGCCTGAGCTGTGAGTGTCACCCAGGGGTGTCACCCAGGGGTGTCACCCACCCCCACTCGGGGGTGTCACACGTGTCACCCCGCTGCCCCTCGCGTGTCCCCGCAGCGGCTGAGAACGTGCTGAAGCGCATGACCATCATCGGGGAGATCCTGAGCTTCCGCGCCATGGCCCAGCAGGGCCTCCGGGAGGTGGGACCCCCGAACGGGGCACCCCCGGACCCTGGCACCCCCGAGACCCCCCAGGACACGCCCGGACCCTGGCACCCCCTGGGACCCCCCCAGGAAACTCCCGGACCTTGGGACCCCCGATCGGGGCACCCCCGGACCCTGGGACCCCCTGAGACCCTCCAGGACCCCCCAGACCCTGGGACCCCAGATCGGGGCACCCCCGGACCCTGGGACCCCTCGAGACCCCCCCAGCACACCCCTGGACCCTGGGTCCCCCCGAGACCCCCCAGGACACCCCCGGACCCTGGGACCCCCTGGGACCCCCCAGGGCACTCTGCACCCGGGACACCCCCAGACCTGGGACCTCCCTGGGACCCTCAATCCCCCCATTTGGGGACACAGGACCCCCCTCATTTGGGGACCCCAGACTCCCGTGACCCCCATTTGGGGGCCCCGGGCCCCATTTGGGGCCCCCGGCCCCCCGTGACCCCCCGGCCCCCCAGGTGTTCTCCCAGCACTGCCCCTTCCTGACGGGCCCCATCGAGTGCCTGGCGGAGCTGGTGACCCCCGACACCGACATCCAGGTGGGGACAGGGACACGGCCGTGGGGGTGGCACCGCGTGGCACCGCGTGACACCGCATGTCCCCTGTCCCCGCGTGTGTCCCCAGGTCACCCTGAGCATCTTCGAGCTGGCCTCGGCCGCGGGGGTCCCGTGCGAGGTGGACCCGGCGCTGGTGGCCGCCCTGGCCAGCGGCAGGACAGGTGGGGGTGGCTCTGGGGACACGGCGGGGTGGCACTGTCACCCGGGTGGCGCTGTCACCGGCTGTCCCCTGTCCCTGCAGAGGGCTCGTCCCCCGAGGAGGAGTACAAGGTGTCCTGCCTGCTGCTGGTGTTCGTGGCCGTGTCCCTGCCGCTGCTGGCCGCGGACCCCGCGTCGCTCTACAGCCCCGAGCTGGACGGTGAGGGCTGTGTCACCGTCACTGTCACCGTCACTGTCACTGTCACTGTGTCACTGTGTCACTGTGTCCCCTCTAAAGCCCCGAGCTGGACGGTGTGGGCTGTGTCACCATCACTGTCACCGTCACTGTCACTGTCACTGTCACTGTCACTGTCACTGTCACTGTGTCCCCTCTACAGCCCTGAGCTGGACGGTGAGGGCTGTGTCAC